CTTACTGGTATGGAGATGTAATGTGAGACGCGAGAGGAAGTCGATGGGTTGAAAAGACGAGACGTTTGAGGATGGGGAGCCCTGGAGTCGACAGCAGCCTTTTTATCCCCCTCAGGCTCAGCCTTCGCTTGACGCCTGAGAGGTATCACTGGCTGACGAGCGCTCTCGTCAACGTAAGAGACATCATGGGGTGCGGAGTCGCATACGCCGAGAGAATTGAGGGTGCCGTGACTAGGCTAACGCGAACCGCATGATAAATTTGGGCCGACGCGTCGCTGTCAGCCCGCGTTCGAGTATAACGCGGGTAGAGTTCGCATGAGTCTGATGAAAGTGCGGAGTCCACGTACGTCGAGAGGATCGAGGGTGCCGTGACTAGGCTAACAAAAACCGCACAGTGAATTTTGGGCCGACGCGTCGCTGTCATCCCGCCTTTGATCATAACGCAGGTGGCGTTCGCATAGCCTGGTCATCCCGCCTTCGAATATAACGAGGTTCGCATGAGCCTGGAGGGGAGGGGGGTTTGCCGTCCACGACGATCGTGACGTGATTCGCGGAGAAACGTCTCGATGTTTCAAGAGATCTTCTGCTTGTATTCCACGGACTAAGCGCCACCGTCTGCTGGCTAGCTCCAAATCTCACCAGGTACTCGTGATCCCGGCCCTGGGCTGCTTTCCATTACGGGGCGCCCTTGAACTGGATCAGAAAAGTGTCACAGATGACCGAGAAAGACACACTCACTGCGATAGTACATAGCCGATATCAGGACGCCAGAGGATTGCGTTTCGGGTCAAATCCTCTCTCAGATCCCAACCATCGGACTTGTGCTTCAGCCGACGAGGAAGTCAGTAGCAGCGGCAGCAAGTGAAACCAGCGGCGCCAGTCGGTGTCCAAACCTCCGACAATGGAAGGAGTCTTTGGGCCGATGCAGTTGCAGAAGCCGCCTCCAACTGGCACATGTCATCAACGTTGACGATGAGAGTCGAGAATGTGCAAGATGCGAGGATGTCGTCCATGACGTTGCTGACCTGCCGCAAGAAGTCGTCGAAAATATACGCGTCGTGAAGTGCATATTATCATCTCAGGCTTGCGGCGTTGTCGGTCCAATAGGGACATCGTGGCGAAGGAGCACAAGTAACGCTACCACATGTCACACACGGTCACGCCGCAAATAACGTTGCGCTGCCACCTCCTTTCCTGCTTTCGCTCCTCTTGCTGCCATTGATTCTGATCTGTACATTATCTCAATGTGTGCAGAAAGACACAACCACACAAGTAACAAGGACGCTCGAACGGTAAGCTTGGGCTGCGAGCTCCGCGATCGAGTTATCTACTGGACAATCGTACTTACGCAAAATGTAGATGATGATGCTCTCCGAACCCTGGAGATTGCCACATAGTTTGACACAACGGGAATATTGGCGGCATGGTCGCTGAAAGCAGAGTAATTGGCTGCCGTCATACGCTCGCGATCGCGTCAGACCAGTCGAATATAACTTTACTTATTGATCACATGATGGCCGACCTAATTCTGCCTGGAGTTCTGTCTGGAGATCGCACACTGTCAACTCTCCTTTGCGATATATGCGACTGCGCAGCGATATGGGGTGTGCCATGCATCGCTGTTTTGCCAAATAGGTTGTGCCTTGTTCTCATCTCCCCCGTGCGAGGAGCACCACACTGGTACGCACATACGCATACACGCTGCATCACCGCAGTTCTACGGTTTCCACTGAGTTTACGCATCAGTGTTTGTGCAAATTCGAAACAAAATATCGAATCCCGTCCGCAGACCGATTGCAACCTCTATAAGCTTAGCTTTCATAAACAGACAACGGGCGCCACTGCCAACGCAACTTCTACGACGGCCTCATCAAAAAGCCCGTAAACTACATACCTTTGACGGGGCACGTCGGGCAGCTAATGCTTGAACCGGAGAAGCGCAAGATCGAGGGCAAGAACTGCCACGTCAGTTTCAGCGGATGTCCTGTCAACCACCATATCATCATCCGCTGCATACATCGAAAACATGGAATCGCTTGATTCTACTGGCTGTCGCTGATACCGACTTCCTCGTCGGGGCCAGCACAAGTCCGATGTGTGAACGCCACCTGCGTTATGATCAAAGGCGGGATGACAGCGACGCGTCGGCCCAAAATTCACTGTGCGGTTTTTGTTAGCCTAGTCACGGCACCCTCGATCCTCTCGACGTACGTGGACTCCGCACTTTCATCAGACTCATGCGAACTCTACCCGCGTTATACTCGAACGCGGGCTGACAGCGACGCGTCGGCCCAAATTTATCATGCGGTTCGCGTTAGCCTAGTCACGGCACCCTCAATTCTCTCGGCGTATGCGACTCCGCACCCCATGATGTCTCTTACGTTGACGAGAGCGCTCGTCAGCCAGTGATACCTCTCAGGCGTCAAGCGAAGGCTGAGCCTGAGGGGGATAAAAAGGCTGCTGTCGACTCCAGGGCTCCCCATCCTCAAACGTCTCGTCTTTTCAACCCATCGACTTCTCTCGCGTCTCACATTACATCTCCATACCAGTAAGCACCTCGTACGGTGCTGCGCGACGCGTAGCTCACGATCCGCCTCTTTTCAGAACCACTAGTCGTCATGGCCGCTTTTT